AAGCGCTCCCATTGGCTCCCCGGAGCACGCGAACTTCCGTGCCTCAGTTTCCCCATTTGCGCAATGGGCGCAACGGCGGCAGCGGGAACGCCGGGCCGGGCGGAAGGGGCGTGGCCTGGACAGTCGTCCCCTCTCTGACCCCCCCCTAAGCGCTCCCATTGGCTCCCCTGGCGAACGGAGGCGCGGAACAGAGCGCGCGCGAACTTCCGTGCCTCAGTTTACCCGTCTGTACAATGGGCGCAAATGGCGCCAGCGGCCGGGCGGAGGGGGCGTGGCCTGGACAATTGCCACCTCTGAGAGTCCCCGCCCCCTTTCCCGCCCCCTAAGCGCTCCCATTGGCTGCCCAGAAAACGGAGGCCGGGAACAGAGCTTGCAAACTTCCGTGCCTCAGTTTACCCGCCTGTAGAATGGGCGCAATGGCGCCAGCGGCCGGGCGGAGGGGGCGTGGCCTGGACAATTGCCACCTCTGAGAGTCCCCGCCCCCATCTCGGACCCCCTAAGCGCTCCCATTGGCTCCCCGGAGAACGGAGGCCCGGAACAGAGCGCGCGAACTTCCGTGCCTCAGTTTCCCCATTTGTACAATGGGCGCAATGGCGGCAGCAGCCGGCGGAGGGGGCGTGGCCTGGACAATTGCCTTCTCTGAGAGTCCCCGCCCCCCTCTCCGATCCCCTAAGCGCTCCCATTGGCTGCCCGGGAAACTGAGGCAGGGAGGGCGGGAAGGCTCCCATTGGCTGCCCGGGAAACTGAGGCAGGGAGGCCGGGAAGGCTCCCATTGGCTGCCCAGAAAATGGAGGCCAGGAACAGAGCGCGCGAATTTCCGTGCCTCAGTTTACCCGTCTGTAGATCGGGCGCAATGGCGGCAGCGGCCGGGCGGAGGGGGCGTGGCCTGGACAATGGCCACAGCTCAGAGTCCCCGCCCCCCTCTCCGAATCCCTAAGCGCTCCCATTGGCTGCCCAGAAAACTGAGGCAGGGAGGCCGGGAACAGTGCCTGCGAACTTCCGTGCCTCAGTTTACCCCACTGTACAATGGGCGCAATGGCGGCAGGGGCCGGGCGCAGGGGGCGTGGCCTGGACAATGGCCACCTCCGAGAGTCCCCGCCCCCCCCAAGCGCTCCCATCGGCTGCCCAGAACTTCCGTGCCTCAGTTTACCCGTCTGTAGAACGGGCGGCAGCGCCTCGCGGGCCTGGGGGGTTGCTCAGGTCCCTCCTGTCGTCCCTGTCGGGGGGGCGGGGGGACGCTCACATCTGCCGGCCTCGCCGGGGTGGCCTCTGTCCCCCACGATTTCTGCCTTGGGGACATCAAGGCCACCCTGGTTTGGGGACACGAGCGCGCGGACACGCGTGTGTCGCGCTCGGGGCCAAAAAAAAAAAAATCGGCTGATAATTATGACACCGGCTTGGATGGGGACAGGGGACGGGGGAGGGTGACAGGGAGGAGTCCGGGGTCCCTGCTGGCGTGGCTGTCCCCTCCCCACCCACCCCCCAGGGCGGGGTCACCGTGTCCCCAGCCTCTCTCCCGGGGAGGACGGGCCTCGATTTATTTTTGTGGCCTCCACGGCCGGGGGACGCGGTTGGTGGCAGCCACGCGCACGCGGCCACCAAGCCAGCCCCTTAAAGTCCCCAAGCAGGAGGGGACACACAGGCGCCCGGGGCGGGTGACAGCAGGTGGCACTCAGAGAGACACACACACAGACTCCAGATAGAGGCCGGCTGCGGCTGGGAGGAGGAGGCCGCCCGCCCGGGGTGGGAGGGACGGGGTGACCGGACCCCAGGCGGTGACAAACTGGGGCCACCGGGCTGCTGAGGACATGGCACAGGCAGGAGGCCCGAGAGCAGAGCCAAGCCGGCCTTTCTTTCTTTTTGGAGACAGAGTCTCGCTCTGTCCAGCCTCGCTCACAGCGGCCTCCAACGTTGAGGCTCGAGCGAGCCTCCCGCCTCGGCCTCCCTCCCGAGTAGCTGGGATGACAGGCGTGCGCCACCACGCCCGGCTCGTTTTTTTAACATATATTTAGTTGTCCAGATAATTTTTATTTTTTTAGTAGAGACGGGGCCTCGCTCTTGCTCAGGCTGGCCTCCAACTCCTGGCCTCCAGCGAGCCTCCCGCCTCGGCCTCCCAGAGTGCTGGGATTACAGTACTGAGCCACCAAGCCCGGCTCATTTTTTCCTCTATATATTAGTTGGCCAATTAATTTCTTTCTCTTTATAGTAGAGACGGGGTCTCGCTGTTGCTCAGGCTGGCCTCCAACTCCTGGCCTCCAGCGAGCCTCCCGCCTCGGCCTCCCTCCCGAGTAGCTGGGACTACAGGCATGCGCCTCCACGCCCAGCTCGGTTTTTTTCCTATATATTTTTAGTTGGCCAATTAATTTCTTTCTATTTTTAGTAGAGACGGGGTCTCGCTCTTGCTCAGGCTGGCCTCCACCTCCTGACCTCGAGCGATCCTCCCTCCTCGGCCTCCCTCCCGACTAGCTGGGACTCCAGGCATGCGCCACCACGCCCGGCTCATTTTCTTTTTTATACATTTTTATTTGTCCAGCTCATTTCTTTCTATTTTTTTAGTAGACACGGGGTCTCGCTCTTGCTCAGGTTGGCCTCGACCTCCTGACCTCTAGCACGATCCTCCCTCCTCGGCCTCCCAGAGAGCTGGGCTGACAGGCGTGAGCCTCCGCGCCCGGCCAGTCTTGGGCAGTCTTAAAAAAGCGGACGATCCTTCTGGGTCCCGGATGTTCCTGAGTGTCCCCGTGGTGGGCGGGGCCCCAGTCCTGGGAGAACGGGAGGCAGGGAGGCCCGGGCCTCCGTTTTGGAGCCTGCCCTCTTGGCAGAGAGGATGGTGTGTTGGGACCGGTGGCTGCTCGGGGGACCGGGCAGGTGCAGGTACCAGAAGACAGGCCACCCCCTGGGAGTCTGTGGGCGGGGCCTCCCAGTTCTGGAATGTTCTGCGTGCCTCTGTTTCCCAGGGAGAGAGGCCGAGCTGGGGGGGAGCAGGGCGAGCAGGTGGGGGGTTTAGGAACAGGCCGCGGGGTCGTTTTTGGGGGTTTGGGGACAATCCCCGGGTGGCCCTGGGACATTGCTGCCTGTCACCTCCCACACCTGGCCACACCTGGCCATACCTGGGCACACCTGGCCACACCTGGCCATACCTGGGCACACCTGGCCACACCTTCCCAGGTGCCCGGGCCCCTAACGGGCCAGCCTCTGAGCCACCGCGTGTCCCTTTCCCGCGCCAGCCCAGCCCAGACACGGCTTCCCATCTCTGCGTCCAGATCGGGGAAACTGAGGCGCACGGGGACAGTTCCCGAAGGTCCCCACGGCTGCAGGGAGCGGCATCGCTCCTGTTCAATCTTGGGCTTTGAGAGCCAGAGGAGGAGGCCGGGAAGGGAGGCCTGGGGACAGGGACGGGGTTCGAGGCCCACCTGACCCCCCCCCGAACCCGGGTGTGGCCTCAGCCTTCGCAGAGCTGCAGACGGACATCCACGAGCTGACCAACGACCTGGACGGGGCGGGCATCCCCTTCCTCGACTACCGCACCTACGCCATGCGGGTGCTGTTCCCCGGGATCGAGGACCACCCCGTGCTCAAGGAGATGGAGGTAGCCACACGGGGCCCCCGGGGTTTGGGGGGGGTGGCTCCCCAAGATCCCTCCCCGTTCTATCCTGCTGTCCGTGCCTGTCCCCACCCTGGTCACCTCGCCAGTGCCAAGCCCCGGAACGGCCGGAAGAAAAGAAAAGAAAAACGCATTGCACCTGGATCAAGCCGTGCCTGCACTCCTCCTCCCGCGTTTCCACGTCCTGGGGCCCCGCCGCAGGGTTTCCCGGCCGGGGCGGTGGGGCCGCTGAGCAGCCCCCCGGGAGGTTGCGCGGCGGGAGCCACGGTGGGCGCAGGTGCGGCAACGTGGAGATCGCTGGCGCTGTTGGGCAGCTGCTGAGCAAGAGCACTTCCGCTGAGCTTCATCCGCACCGGAGGCGCAGCGCGCTTTCGATGCGCGACCGCGCAACGTGGCCATCGCTGTGATGACGGCGCGCAGGGCGAGGATGGAGTACGCACGGGCGTGCTGCAGCAGCTCTGGCCGCCTCAATCGCGCAACTGAGAGCAGACCACCAAGCTGCTGCTCGCGCGAAGCGGGCGGGCGCGCGGGGGGCGGGGCCGGCGCGGGTGGCGGTGTAGACGGGGAGGTGCTGAGTGTGGTGGGTGGAGTGGGTGGGCTTTGGTGGGCGGCTTGAGCGTGGGTGGGCGGGGTGTAGGGCTGGGAGGGTGCTGAGTGGGGCTGGCTGGGTGGCGGGGCTTGAGGGTTGGCGGGTGGGGCGGGGAGGGCGCTGAGTGGTGGGCTTGAGCGTGGGTGGGCGGGGTTAGGGCGGGGAGCGGGCACTCGAGTGGGCGCTGGGCTGGGGACGGCCGGGGCTGAAGGTGGTGGGCGGGCTTGAGTGGGTGGCGGGGTGTAAGGGCGGGGAGGGTCTGAGTGGGTGCTGGGCTGGTGGGCGGGGCTCTGGGATGGGCGGGCTGAGCGTGGGTGGGGCGGGTGTAGGCCGGGGAGGGTGCTGAGTGGCGCTGGGCTGGGTGGGCGGGGCTTGAGGTGGGCGGGGCTTGGGACATGTGGGAGGCGGGGGCAGTGGTCATGGGTGGGGGCAGGTGATGGGAATAATGCGGCCACCGTGGGGGGGCGGGGCGATGTGGCTGGGCGGAGCGCAGTTTGACGAAGGAGGGACGAGCTGGGCGGGGGCGTGGGCGTGCACAACCCCAGGCCCGGCTGCCAGAGGGCGGGCATGCAGGGGGCGTGGCCTTGGGCGGGGACTGCAAGCCTCCCGCAGGGGCTGGTAGGGGGTGGATGGGGCGGGCGAGCTGCGGGTGGCGGGCCTGGGGCGGCAGGTGCTGGGGTGGGCGGGCATGCAGGCGGGGGGCAGGTGCTGTATGTTGGGAGCTCGGCTGCTGGCTGGGTAGGGGCCTTTAGGGGTCGGGCATGCAAAGGAGGCGGAGCATGCAGGGGGCGGGGCATGCAAAGGGGCGGGGCATGCAACCTGGGGGGCCCACAGCCCTTCTGTGCTGGTTCCAGCTGGCTGGGGTGGGGGTGGGGGTGGGGGCATCACCAGGTCCTCTGACTCTCAGCATCCGGGTCCCCAGGTGGGGACAGTGAGGACCAGGGGCGCCCCACCCCCACCCCGGGGCGCCCCACCCCCACCCCTGCACCAGACCCCAGTCTCCCTGCTCCCCTTCCTGGCCTCCTCCGGGCTGCAGGGCTTGGGGGGGTCCTCACTGCTTCTCCCCCGGCTCCTCTCCGGGCCTGACCTCCAGGGCGCAGGGTGGGACAGGTGAGGACCCCCCGGTTGGGAATGACCCCCTCTGTCCCGTTTGCACCCCCAGAACCGAGTCTGTGGCCGAGAAGATGCTGACCAACTGGTTCACCTTCCTCCTCTACAAGTTCCTCAAGGTGGGCGGGGCTTGGGGACAGGGGGCGGGGCCGGGGGGCGTGGAGCAGACGGGGTCTGGGTAGGGGGGGCTGGCCCCCAGGCCACGTGACTGCTATCCCCTTCCCCTGCCTCCCTCCTGGACTGCGATCGATCGATCGATCGGTGGGGACCCCGGGTGTTGGATGCCGGGGTCCGTCCACCTTTGCCGGAGTAAGGGGAGCTTTGCTGCAAGGGCAGCGAGTTGGCAGCCCCGCTGCGCTCCGAGGCACATCCTGCTCATATCCGACCCAGAGGCCCGGGGGGGACTTGGGGACGGGATTTCGATTTTCCGCTCTCTTGCTCAAGCCCTGCCTGGCCACGTGGCGTGCCCCGGCGCGTCGCGGGAGGCCCCTGGCCGTCGGCGTTCGCGGTGACAGTCGCGAGGGCGACACTGGTCGTCTCGCGCTCGGGCTTTGGAGGGGTCTGGGGGCTGCTGGGCTTGGGGGAAGGGTCCGGAAAGGGGACTGGGGGGCTTCCGGGGTCCCACCTGCCACCCCCGACCCCCGCAGGAGTGCGCCGGGGAGCCGCTGTTCATGCTGTACTGCGCCATCAAGCAGCAGATGGAGAAGGGCCCGATCGACGCGATCACGGGCGAGGCGCGCTACTCGCTCAGCGAGGACAAGCTCATCCGCCAGCAGATCGACTACAAGACGCTGGTGCGCCTGCGC